TGGTATCAAGATTTCACTTACCACTCCGCTAATTTAGATTTTCAATTAACTATAAATCTAAGCATATATCAGGAGCTCTTAGAGCGCAGTAGAATATATACTTAATGCTGTTTCTGCGCTCTATAAATGTATCATTATTATTATTATTATTATTAGCCAGGAGAATGTTATTATATGATTATGTATGTTCTTTCGCGACGACGAGCTATGACATAAATGTGTGGTCAACGAACCTTATAAATACTTTTGCATTGAAATAACAAATGGCACAGTATTAAATATTTCCTCATTGTTCAATGAAAGCTGACATGTGTTATTCAAACACATCGTTTTACGGCGTACACTGAGGAAGGGGATAGGAGGCTGAAACACCACCCCACTCCAACCCACCCAACCCCACCCGTTTCCTATTCTAGTATCGTTCCCAAGTGCTTGATATTGCCCTTTTTGTTCATCCGTCATGAAGTCATGATTCTGATAAAGAATTAAAAATATAAGATAGTTTTTAAAACAAAACAAAAACGAAGATATTGCAATGAAGATGAGAATAAAGTGACCAGCTGTTCTCTTCTATTAAAGTATATATTAATCAATTTCGACATATCTTGTCTTTCATTTACTGATTTGATTGAACTGGAATAATTTTGATACTGATATTAATATCAACTACCCATCGCTCTTGTTTATGAGTCCTGATATTCTCTGATGCAAAGTATTATCTTTCTCCCCGACGACCGACTGTTTCTATATAAGCACCGGTACCCCAGTCCTACCGACAAACCGATTCCACGGAATTTTGGCCTATATGTTATCTTTTTTTTTCTTCATAGGTTTTTATTCATTTCTCTCATAAAGAAAATTGTACCTAATGTATAACATTGTATACAAAATAACAAAATAATCTTCACATAGGTCTAAATAAATTTACAAGTGAACTTTTACCTTTCCATATACAAGGTTACAAACGAAGTTACACATTTACAGATGAAAAATATTCACATAAACTAAATTATATTTTCACATTTCAAACAAATCGCAAATAAAGTTTGTACTATTTCATCGACCAGTTTGCGTATAAATTTCAAATTATTTCTTTTCTTTTCCACAAAATGTCTGTTCTATCGGTGAAACTGAGGTAATACATGAAACCATTTTAGGGGTAGATATACGAGGCACGCAACAGATGCGTGCTGGAATATTTATGTTATTGTCTCTGCTTACCTTGAACCGTTCCACGTACTCGGTTTTTCTTAGAAGAGGGCACTCTCCGAGGCACAAAGAGTATTCAATCAGGACCAGATATGATGGGCGTATAAAGTCTCTCTCCGATGCTGTTCAGACCGGCAGAATGATTCGATTTTGGTATCAGATTTTCAGTGTGTCTGAAAAGTAGTTATTGCACAAATCAACTTGTGCACTTATAAAGGTATCATCTAACATCTTGGGCCTGGGGCTGGGACGACACAATTCAAACGATAACCATTCAAGCAAACAAAAAATGAAAGGAAATATTTTACCTTGGGAATATGTAGCTTTTCGTATATCACGCACTTTTCGACAGATCCGGAATTCAGTTTGCCTAAGATTCGATGTAATGATATTTCAATCATTCTGAGATTTGAGCCAAATTTCATTTAAACCCAACTTTACTACTTTATTTTTATCCCCCCAAAATGATACAATTTGTTATATCTTAAAACATAAATTATCAATGAGGTCGAATACTTCATTTTAAATGAAGGCATCTTGCTTTCGCATACATGGGCGGATTAAACGCAACTCCTCTTTCAATTTCATGAAACAGCTTCTAATTCCATTATTCGTTAGACGTCATCTAAAAGTATAGCTTTTTTTCATGTCCCGAACAATTGAAAATTGACTCTAGAATAAACTGTTTATTGGTTTCCACAATATCTCATTTTACAAAAAGTTATATTGAAAAATGATTATAATATACATGTATATACAATACCGGTACACACTATTCAGTTGAACTTGTCAGACATATAGTGGCGGAGCCTATGGAAAAGACAAATACACGCTAAAACAGGGAAAGGGTGATGACAGGGATACATGAACCGATACTCACAATTAACTACACAAGACAAGGGAAAGGGAAGGTAATATATCAACAGCTTATTGAAACATGAGTACATTATGTTCTCAATAGAATATGTACATAGTTGGCATGGCCATACCGCTTTAATTTACTCATTGTAATAAAAAAAAGTATACAGCTTGGAGACAAAATAGTCAGGAATCAGGAATGACAGTATGTATTCAAATAATGACATTTCAATTTTCTTCTGAATACATGAACACTTACAGACCTCCTGGAAGTCTTTTGTGGAAACTTTCATTTTTTACTGTGACAAAACTCACACAGGTTCGGCTGAAAACACAACAACAATATATTCCTTCTGAAACACACTAAAGGTTGCTTCAAATATGCGTCATTTGAGAGGAGGTTTCCTTTTTAAGTTCAAATTTCTTGAAAGCTTCGTTCGAATTCGCTATTTGTCTTTAAAGGGATAGACCAGTTCTCGTCATGCAATTGCATTGTGAAAGAAACGTTGTGGAATCGATCAGAAAAGGTTGATCATCTAGCATATAAGTATTGGTGTGTACTGCAAGGTTCTGGAATCATCAAAATGATAAGAAATATGGCCCAGTCTTGGTAAAGTTACAAGCACTGTACACGGAAAGATGTTTATGTGATATCTATCCAGGCCGGGTCGATATGATTATTTGCCAAATATATTTAATAATTTAGTAGACGGTTTCCCGGCAAATTTGTATCATCATGTATTAGCCAAAACATATTCTTTCACATGATTGCTAATAAGATCTTCCATTTCTTTTTTTGAGGGGGGGGGGGGCGTTTCCAAAACTGGTTTACTACATTTAATAATCACAGGTTAAACCCGCGATACGGCCCATGAGACCGGCAGCATACGGAATCAACAGCCCAATTAACTTCCAACGTCGGTTTCACAGGCCTTCACACCACTTGTTTGTGGTCCACGAGAACAACATCCCACAAGTTAGACATAAGAGGCTTCCTATCTTCCCTTATGTATTTATTTATTTTGTCGATCTCGCATTTATGAAAAAGGAAAGTAGCTCTAAAATAAAAAGAATAAGGGATAGTATCAGAAGGAAAAAAGGCACTTATTAGACAGACAAGGGGGCACGTGTCAAAAAAAGAAAAAGAGGGCCCTTATAAGACGTGAGAAGGGGCACTTATCAGAAAAAAACAGGAAACTTGTTAAAGTAACAAAACCATGTCTAATTTTTTTTTTTAATTTTTTTTTTTTTTTTTTTTTTTTTTTTTGGGGGGGGGGGGGCAACTACCCTCTCCACCATCAGTAAGCCAGAGGAGACAAAAGAAATCAAATGAATGCCCCAGAAAGCACGACCTAGGAAGTTTTAAAGAATAAAGGCACATGACAATGGCCTCCCTTGTGAACAAACAGCTCTTCAATACCGAGATAAAGGACGTACATAATACAATCTGCCCATAGACATGTCAGGTAATAGATCATGAAGAAAAATGAATAATGAATATTTTCGTAGCCTAAACAACTTGTCAAAATAATTTGTTCGCTTCATCTCAACTTGAAAATTTCGAAAAAACAAAGGATGGCATTTTAAACAAACTAATCACTCATCGTCATTGGTCATCAGATGTAGACATTCCAACGTTATGGGAAACAAATATCTTAAGTTGTATTCACAGTTTCAATTGTATCACTATATGATTTAAAATAAAATATTATCTCTAAATATAACTGTACACTAATCTACCTCCATCGCATGTCAACCAGGTTATCGATAAATCGGGGGTGTAATTAAATGGTAAACCCATCTCTCGGGTAAAATAAATCATCTCGATCTATTGAGTTCACGACTTCAAGAGCGGACTATGAATAAACTGGTTCAAGTTCGGGCCCGACTCGGGGCATAGCATTCTTTGGCAAGACTTCAAATGTCTGACTCCATTTTGCAAACCCTTACTTTCCCAACGAGAAGGTGGGTACCTGATAGGAAAGGTAAACGTCTTTTACGACCGTCAGTATGCCATTACTGTGCTGTATGCGCGTGAAGAGAGCAGAAATCGACTTTAGAAATACTCCTAAGAGAGTGGAGATGGTGCGCATAATACACAACAGGGAAACATTATCCCCGCCACACCCTGCGTACTTTCAGCTACAAAAGTGTGAAGACATTTAACAAAGTAAAATTGTTACCACATTCAAAAAGAAAACATTTCCTCATTGTGGTAACTTTTGCAACTTTACAAACGGTGAAAAATATAAATGCATCCAACTGTAAGCTATTTTTTAAATAGATAAATCTTTTTCCTATAAAATATGATCTTTGACAACAAAATAACAACTCAACTTTTATCGCTATAGTATGACTAATATAAGTATATCTTTGAACTGGGAGTTAGACACTAATAAACAGAGTCAATAATTTATTCGACACCTAATGTATATCATATTCTTACATCAGTGAACACCATCGTCGGTATAGTCACGTTATTTATAAGAAATCGTGACAGTAATTAATTCAAGAAACTCTAATAACAAGACAAATATTGTACAATGCAAAGTAGCTCGCTATCGAACATAAAAAAACGAATAGTTAACATCGTTTTCATAAAAAGTCATGTCTTTTAAATCAAGATTCTATCGTGTTTCTTCTATTTCGAGACCGAAGGGGGTAAGGAAGAGTAATACAAGTATTAAAAACGAAGGAACCCGGGAAGATTGTTAAAGAAGGAATCCGATTGGTCAGTGAGCAAGAGAAAGTGAATGACGTCACAAATAAGGTCTCACCATGTCATCAGGATTAACTTCTTATTTGATATCGGCAATCGCGGAACGAAACACAACCTGTAGACGTTGAGCTGACACACTGGAGACTCTACACCTGTTCACTAACTATTATTCATGCTACACTCCAGCAGCAGCAGTAGCACCGGTCGACCCAGCTATAAAATGATTCGATGGAGAGTTATACTAGGACAGTGTGTTTATGTCGGACTGCCGACAAGTGCTTGCGCTGCCCCTCCTCATGCTAGTTGTTCCAGGCTGCTCTTGTTAGCTGTATATTCTTGCTTCTTGAAATTGTACGCGCTCCGTTGTTTTGTGGACTTTATCCAAGTTCGTATTCATCGAGATGGCTACGTTGTCGAGATCATGTCAGCTTCTTGTAGCAGCGGTCCTCATCGTCGCCACGTTCGTCAGCATCGTGGAAAGCTCGAGGAACACTCGCCCCTACGCCAGGCCACGGGGAAGCAGTCGACACCTCGGGAATCTTCGATATGGGACGGAAGGTCGCCGAAGGTCTCAGGACCCGTTCAGAACTCCAGGCTTCATCCCCAACCCAGCACCTGAGCTACCATCAGCCACACGAGTCAAGAACGCAGGAAACTGGTTCCAGAACTTCATCGCCAGCAAACATGCCAGCAACAACCCGCCCAACTCAGGCCCAGAGCATTCAACCGACCATGGTGCTGGTGACCAGGAAAAGGTGGTCGTACGTCCACCTATCATCAAATCAGGATCCGTTGTCACTAGCCCAACCATCACCATGATTTTCCTTGAGACCATTGATGCCAGGAAGAGGAATTCATCAAGATTTCAACAACCCACACAACCTGAGAGATCTCAAGAGGAGGAGGAGGCAGTGACTGACGAAGCTACCACACTCCCAAGTAACCCGAGACCAAGTAGAAGAGCATTCACTGCTGATGAACGTGAGTTTTATAGGACCAGTTAGTCCCTAAATCGTTTGATGATGTTTCTTTCTATATTTCGTTGGTCAAAAGTTGGATTAATCATATGTCGATTCATCTTATTCGTCATGAAAACAAGTAACTGCAAAATAGCAACAACAAAAAATGAAGGCGAGTTTGTTCCTAAATAATGTGATGATGTTACATTTAAGTTGGTTAAAAGTAGAAACGCCTCATATTGCTCTCTTTTCTCCTATCTTACTAAATTTACTGAAAAAACAACAATTCCTAAATCAACGTCTTTTGTATCTTTATGTTTTCCTTACATTTGGAGAGAATAACATTTTGAAAAGCATAGTTTATCACTTGATCACAAAACCAAGACCCAGCAGACGACATAACATGAAGGTTTGTGAACATTACTACTTGATTATAGTTTATGATATAGGAAAGATGTCTGTGACTTGCTTTGCACAAGAAATATTATTGCAATTAATTAACTTGTACTTCACCTACGATAAGACTGCGCGATCATACAATTGATTTATTCTGTCAAAAAATAACTATTTCTTCATTTTTAAAAATATTCATTATTTTCATTTCCCGGCAAAGGGAGAGAAAAAAAACATACATGTAGGGCAGGAACTTGTTACATGTAAAAATCCTTGTATAGAGGCAAATTAAGAAAGATTTAAGAGCAACTACTGTCCGGGGAACAATCATACCGTTTCGTCTAGACACTATAAACAAAAGCTTTTATTGGAATAATTTACGACCAAAGACCTAAACATTTGTAACACTTTATTCATACATAATATAGCATCCAGGTGTACCATACCAATATAAAATATATGTATCATTGTTATAAACAGCAAAATGCCACCACATTTTTTTTAAAGCCCAGATAATGTTTAGAAGCGTTCATGTCTATTTCAAGTCTTCGCAAACAAAATTGTCCATTGTTGTATTGTTAACAAAAAGGTATAATCTGTTTTAAACGTTTTTTTTCTTGTAAAAGGACATAATCTGATGAGTTAAGAAGAATTCGTGCCTATTTTTGGTCTTCGCAAATAATTATTTTGTACCATTCATTGTTAAATTTAAGACAGTATGCACAGACGTTGTAGATAAGTGTAGAAGCATTCATGTACAGTATATGTTTAGGTCTTGGCAAATAATGGTTATCTTAATGTAATGGCGCAATCTTGTCAGTAGATAATCGACGTTTAAGTTGCGGGCTCCCCTGCAATAAGTTGTTTAGAAATGTTGTGTATCCTAAGGGAAGACTCAGATGATTGCGTTGCCCCCTCCAAGTTCGGAAGATGGATTGAAACTCCTTTCTGTAAGCACTCTCGATAAAAAATAAATTAAAGTCTCTCCATTCCTAAGAATACTATTCTCTAGATAATTTTAAAGTATTTAAACATTCTTGGCTTAGTTTAGAGCCGGGGTAATTTTGAAGCTCCTCGAGCACTTTGCATGATGGCTATATAGTGCTACAAATGTATCCAATGTTATTATTATTATCAATATCATCATCGCATCTTTATTCTCCTCCTCATCATCATCATCATTATCCTCATCATTATCGTTATTACGATGTAGTATGGTTTATGAACTTATAGGTTTTATTCATGTTTTGAAATAAATTTGACTCTATTTCACTCAATTATTCTAAATGACAATACCTGTAATATTTACCATTGAATTATATTATACAAAAAAAGCAACGAATTTTATTTGGCCTTTATGCATGAAATATAAGAAATGTCTAAAATGTTGTTTGTCAGGAAGGTTTTTAAAAAAAATACATGTCCTGCCGTCGAAAGTTATAAGAATAGATACATCAAGTCTTAAAAGCTCCACTTCCACAATTAATCTCTGAAAAAATGTGAATAGACTGTTTTAAATTTAAAGGAAAAAAATATTTATTCATTTATTTATTCATTCTTTCATTTATTTATTCATTTATTTTTGCATTCATTTATTTTAAAAAATTATTTATGTATTATTTATTTATTCATTTATTCATAGTCTGTCTTCTGGAAATATAGAGAAGTCTCCTTCTGTGTTAAAAGAATCCCGCTTCACAAGACAGCCCTATAGGCATACACTATAATATGGTGTCAAATTCTAGGAGTACACTAATGAGGTAATATAATTTGACAAAATTCAAGTGGTAAAAGATTTATTAATAATAATTCCCATCTCAAAGCGTGATATTTGACGAACGTTTGATGGAAAATAAGTGAATAATAGGTTAATTTATTGCTCAACTGTTTTAATTGCAAATGTCCAGTAGGCGTTTTAAATGCTATCATTCCAATTGCAAAGAATAGATTTAAAAACAAGTAAAATCCTGACCTGAACAGATACTCACTAACCATTTTGTAAACCCAATAAAGGTTGTACATTTCGAGTAAAGTGTGATGAAAGTTTAGTGTTTGTAAATTGTATGCAAGCGTTAAATTGATGAATGGAAACAGTAAAATGCTCAAATTATTTCAGGAATATTTTTGTTTACAGTATACAAAATAATTTGTCATAGTTTGTACGATGATCGCAAATATTTCTTTCGAGACATAAAATGAAGGCCATTTTCAATACCCTACATGCTTGTCATATCCCATCGAAATTATGTTCGAAGTACGCAGAACCTCTCTGTAGTGTTCGATATAACGAATTCACTACATCTATGCGAATGTGAAATTGGCTTTTTGTCAGTAATTTGTGTCAGTTAATTTTACTTGTAGGAAACAGAATCACCTGAAGTACATGTATGGATAGAATGTAGATAAAAAAAAAGGTGTGTATTTACTACGCTGTAAACACACATGTTTGGCCATAATACTCTGCAATAGTAAATGACAATTCTCCCATTTGTCGTTTAAAAAAGTATCATTAATTTCTGTTCTTCTCCGATATAAGCGTACTACTCAAAATATTGTGGATAAGTTAATAATTTAAGAATATATTAATTAAACAAGATTTAAACAGAATTATATCTTCGATAAGTTAAAGGTTCTGTAATGCAAATATAATATTCAGCACGTGAGACTATGATCTATCAGTGATGTGAGCAAAACAATTTTCATGTATTTTATACATCGGACCAATACAATTAATGAATGATTATTATAATGGGTCCTCTTAAAAGAAAGGACCATCCTGAGTCCAAAAAAAATAAAAATTGACATGTTTTAATTCTTCCCAGACTTCACCTACATTTTCGTTTGAGTCTGATACCCGTTTTGCCTCTGGCAATTTCGCGTTCCTCTACCCCACATGGCTTTGTGTATACACATCTCACTTGTTACTTCTCTTTCTTATTCTCTTTCTATCACTTTATCTGTATATATATATATATATATATATATATCCCTGTATGAAATTTTCTATCTGAATTCGTCACTCGACTATTATGTCCATTTTCCATTATTTTGCATACTATTGCTTTACACGAATTTTCCTTCTCTTTCTCTTTCTATCTCCTTTTCTCTTTTTCTCTCTTTCTATCTCTTTTTCTCTTTCCACCTGTCTCTCTTCCCCTTTCGTTCTCTATCTCCCTATCACCATCTCTCTCTTTTTATATAGATCTCTCTATATCTCTATTTTTCTCTGTCCTTTGACATGAACCCCTCTCCCTCTCTCTCTCTCTCTCTCTCTCTCTTCCCCTTTTGTTCTCTCTCTCTCTCTATCACCATATCCCTCTCTCTTTTTTTTCTCTGTCCGTTGACTCAACCCCCTTCTCTTTCTCTCTCTTTCTCTCTCTCTTTCTCTCATTCTCTCTGTCAACCGATCGTCCTCTCTGTCTGACCTTGTGTTCCTGTCTGAAGTTCAGAGGGCGTAATAAGAAATATTTTCGGGGAATCTTACCAGGTGGCATGCGTCTTCAGATCGAGAAAGAGCATGTGAAACACATTGATCAAAATGACAGTTATGTTCCTCAATAAAAAAGCGAACACGCGTTTTGTCTTTTGGTTCCTTCTCCGGAAATATACCTTTCAGAAAGTAGGTCCGTGATACCATCAATAACCGAGCGTTAGTACTTTTTGTTGACATTTAGTTTGTTGGATATTAATAATGGTATTTTTTCTAAAATAGTTTAATGTTTCCTACCGTGTTTTTATTTCTTTAATAAAATGTGGATATGAGTGGAGATCGAGCACCAGGTGATGAGTTAAACATTTATTTTCCATCATAATTCTACTCCATAAATTCATGAATTACAGGGATTTGTCAAAATCCCGACATCAATGCGAAAGAAACTGGGGCAATGTGAAATCGTTATGTTTCATATATGGCTCATAGGTAAAAACATCTTTGTTTTGATGAATCTCGATTACATGAATTATGTCTTCTTACTTTTCTGTTGGTATTAATCAAATCCAAATGCGTCCGTTGTTTGGTGGTTTGGTGAATAAATACCACATTAGTTTCTTTATGAAGTCGTTTTATCGCAATTGACATTCGAAATTATTTGAGAAGATTTATCTTGGAAAACACTAAAATACAATCAATTGTATACGTGCAAATGTAAATCTTGATCAAAGTTTGAATAAAATCAGTTAGTATTTTAAATGTCATAAATGTGATACTAGCATTTACCAACTTGCACTATTCATCCGGGCACTCTATAATACGACAACTGGAAGAAGAAGAACAACAACAACAACAATAACCATTAATACATTAATAAGTCAGGGTTGATGTAGCAATTTGTTTGAAAACAGTTGTTCTTTAAGTGATTTTTGTAGCTGCATAGAAATAATAGACATATTGATGAAGTTCGAAGGTTGGAATGTTAACTTCCTGATCCATGCAACCCTGTACTATCATTAAACCAGAACTGCTCTAAATAAGGCGTATACGTCACAGTGTGTGGAATATTGAATGAACTATAACACGTATACATATAGATATATATTACTTTTGGGGGGCAGCTGAAGTCTTTTAAGACACCTATGGGTAAAGTTAAAAATCGAATTACTTGTGACTCGTTTGGCTTGTTGTAAAATGAAACTTGTTGCCAAATTTGGTTTGGCACTTGAGTGTAATACCGTACTACTCAGAGGAGTTCTGTATTCTGTTTTCTGCTTTGTACTACGTCCGCAACTGGTTATGATATACGTTTTCTCACCAGACAATAGCCGAAACAAAATTAAAGATAAATTAACTTCATTACGTATTTCATTTCAGATGTAATGTTAAACAGTCCATCTTATTGTGTGGTAAATAAATGCCGTCATTCATGATATGGAAGCAATGATGATGAACATTTTAATTCTTTCTTCAGCAATACACTAGGAATAAATGATTTATAGGCAAATACAAATACCAATCAGTTTAAAGATATATTCTATGAAACGTATATCAAGTTTTCCCATCCTGGCTCTGTATTGGAGTTGCATTTTAGGACGATACTCCCATCTTACTCTTTAAGTAGCTTAAGCCCAACCTTTTTTTTTTTTAAACATCGTTTCCCAAAGATGTGTCATTTTATTTTGTTTCTTTAATGAATTTTCTTTGCTGAATATGATAATAAAAACGATACTTAACTTTGCCGGATACACCATGTTTTAAATGAATATGATGAAGTTTCCCGAGTTCTTGATTTCAGATTTTATATGAATTTCATCTTTATTATTGTGTTTTTTCACCTCTACAGTCCGTATTCAGTGCGGAGGACCGAACGAAGCAGGCCTTACCGATGAATGCTACCGATTCGAACTGCCCGCCGATCTTAACAACAACGCCGTCGTTATCAGCGGTGCGGTCGTCCTCTTGCCGGCGGGAAACCGTTTCCCTGCTCCCCGTCAGAGAACCGTCCATCACAACGTCACTATCGTAGCTAAATTCCCGACATCAGGAGAATGTAAGAGAATCAACTAAAATTTCGCTCTAAAAAAAAATAACCAGTGTGATATTGCACCACCCCCCCCCCCCATCATGTGTATAGCCCCCCTAAACAAAACAAAAAGAGAGAAGAAAAATGAAGAACAAAAAAAGGAGAACAAAAATTGTACGCAAGAAATAGTTAAAATTCTAATGCCGGTTGTACACGAGACGTTTTACTGACGTAGGACTTTGTCAGGTTTCTATGTGATAGTAAAATCGTACGAAGAGTGAGAACAGAATGGAGAGTGCACCCTTGGCTTTTAGCATATACCCAAATTGCTTTCGTCTTGATAAGCTTGTGTAATGACACAATCAAAATGGCGCCTCGTCTACAAGAGGCATGCCAGAGATGTATATAACCTCTAAGGAAGAGCAATTTCCAATTAACAATTCCTCAAGTCAACCTAAAAATCAAAGAGAGAAATTTGGTAGTTCAGTCTCAAGCATAAAAATCTATATCACAAATGTACACGAATAATTTTGTATTATCAGTATTTTGTATAATTCTTGATATATTGTTTATTTATTTAATTATTTATTTATTTATTTATTTAATTATTTCTTTTTTTCCTTAATTATTTTCTTTTTGCTATTCTGCAGATGCCTACAGAGAGAGTATTTCTGTCCAGAACATCTCCTACGACATACCTTGGAAATGGAAGAGTGCTTCCCTCCCACAAGGCTCTTCCCTCGTTTCTCGCGCACTCCAAGAAGACAACACACTCCTTCTCAAACTCTCCGTCATCAGCAATGACAACGGACAACCAACCACCAGTAATTTCATCCCAATGGAGTCCAACATGCTTCCCGTGCTGGTGGTCGACATCGAATTCAATGGGACGGATTCGTCAACGACCTCATCGACGACGACGACAGCGACATTGCGTACCACACAGGCCAACGTGCTGGAAAGACAATTACGGAAGCGAAGGACAGTACTGCGCGCCACAGAAGACACTCCACCAAAGTAGGTACAATCAAATTAAAATCATGTGGTTGAATGAACATGTAGCACCCGGATAAAGCTCTAAAATATAAGTCTAACTTCTGGATCGAATTTAAGTCAAAATTTCCATTAATAGCTCTTGAATTTTAGGGTCGCAACCAAGAACGCCTATACCATCAATTGACAAAGCTATGCAATTTGTTTCATTTCGGTGATAATGTCTATGCTGGTATGATGCCTTACTGCATCCTTAAAAAACAAATAGGCCTGGCTTCATCCTTATTTCCTATAATAAGAATTGTCACTTTGTTTATTTATCTCCATCGGAAAGTATGCTTTTATGTCTCAACGTAGAGAGCGAGACTTATTATGGTCCTAAAAAAAAAATCACGTATTCAACTTAAGGGTTTATTTTTGATCCATTCTTCTTGTTATTTGCAGCAACACAGTGACATGCTCCGGGTATCCGGGATGCTGTCGTCGGACGATGGATGTTTCATTCTCCGATCTGGGTTGGAGTTGGATGGTTGCACCTCGAAGACTTACAACGAGTGTTTGCATCGGATCGTGTCTCGCACCAAACATGACCTTCGAAAGCTTTATGGTCAATCTTATGCAGGGCCATGGGCGTCCATCGTCAAGAGATGAGCGCAGATGCCGTCCGTCGCGCACCGACCATTTCGACGCGCTCGTGATCAACGAAGATGGCGACATCCAAATGATGAGATTGCCCGACTTCATTGTCCGCGAATGCGCATGTGCTGAAAATCAGAGGGAGACCAAGGTACCCCCTGTAGCGCCGACTGAGGGTAAGCACGTGTAGGACTCCTTTAAGATGCGCACGTCCAGATAAACGGGTATTTTTATAATTCATAATCTCATTTTGATAGCCACCCACTGTAAAGAAAAACAAAAGCAGGGGTGATTACGAATGTTTACCTTAGTTTTGAATAAAATTAAACTTGGAGATTTAGAAGAGCATTACAAACTATAGATCCAACGAATTTTTAAAGTTAATTTATGTCCTGCGATGACGCTTTATTTGGTACGTACTTAATATTGAAGGGCTAGACAAATTTATTCCTTCTTTTTAAAACTTTACTTTACCTTTCTCTAATAATGCTCGAGTGATAACTGTAAAAGGAGTTTTGACAAGATACGATTTCTAATTGAAATGATGTAAACATGTAAGCAATAAAGTGATCCTTAATCATATCCCTTGAAAAGTGGGTTTTGTATATCTCTACTTCACGAAAACGTAGAAAGGCATGATGAAACATTCTGGTTGTCAAAAGGTTGGATCAACCCTCGACCGATTGTTTTCTAGGTAATTCGATCAGCAGTAAACCCGAATTAGAAACGGCGAGTTGCCTCAATCTTATGTTCGAAAACCTTGAACTATGAGTTCTATCACACGTCATACCATGAATGATGAGAAAAACTGATTTTGTAAAGGTCAAAAACATACTGAGTAGGCTTGAACTTTAAAGTGATTTTTATGGAACGAGTTACCCTTTTGACGTAATTGAAGGGGTGTCGTTTTGTAAAGGAATTGTTTCTTATGTTGGCTTAGAATATGAGAAAATTATTCCAAAAGGTTTCCAGAAAAATCAAAGTGTTAGGAAAAATAGTCAACGTTACTGTGGGAAACATTTAAAGTCCATTTCCCAAAACAAAAAGTAGGCCTGTAACAAAAATCGCAGTTCATATCAGACTGGAATAAATCAAAGAAACTATCATATGATGAGTAGCAGGAGTAATTTAACAGTAATTCCAAGTTATTGTCACCATTCATACAATCCTGTTTTCCATAAACCTTGTGACTGATTTTTAAAAGTTTATTTTCAAATATTGAATAATACGTACAATTTGCCAAAATTTTTGTTGTGACAATATCGTTTATTTAGTGTTATTATCGAATTTCAGGATCTAGTATTAAGTGAAAGCATAATGAGTAGAAAATATATTGTTTTCTGTAATAATTGCTAAAGGAGGAAGATTTGATCTAAATTCCTAAGTTTAAAAAGTCACATTATTATTTCTCACATTTACATTTGATTTACCTAACAATTAGAGTCCTGTGATATTATTGATTTATATAAAATTGTTATAATACTTGAATGATAATGATGGTCATACTTGATTGTATAAGTCAATAATAGCACTTATTTGCAAACTTTAGAAACAGAATATAGGAATGTTTTTTGGTGAAGTTTTCTTTTAAATGTATTATGTCCACAGATAGTTCGTGTTTATTTATGAATAGTTTTTAAATAGTTTTTATGTATGAAATGAAGACGGAACCAAAGGCTTTTTGGTAGTGAGAATCAAATTTATATATTCAATCGGACATTTAAAATGTAGACAATGAAGCATGTAACGCAGAGAATATCAGTTTGCTTGAAAGAACGTTTACTCTTATGGCAAAATGCACATCATGCTAGCTTTTTACATGAGCGCGCATCACTGTACAGCACTGTCTAAAATTTCTAATGATAAGAACAAAACAAAACTGATAAACAAATGAGGAAAAAAAATAATTTCATTTTAATCCCAAAGAAAATGCAATTACTCTCTGCTTGTAACCAAAATCCATATCACTGCAAATATCATAAAGGTTTAAATGAGCACTAATATCAAGGAGCTATAGACGGATTGAATCATGAACGAAAAAAAAGGGATTTGCCGTTGCAGCAAGAAATTTATGACACCAAAACTGTATTGCTTACCCTGTACATATAGCACCTACATTTCAGGCACACAATATTTAACAAACTCCTGTGAATAACGACCCAGTATTTCTTATATGTCAATAAGTTACCCAAGTTGCCCTACCATAAAATCAGCGCATGAAGGCATGTTCACTTTTCATTAATGTCCATGCTCTCAGACCTACCTCATGCAAGCTATTATTCAAAGCCCTGATGTATAGTCAACATAAATCCCACTGTAACGTGTAAAGGTCTATGTGGTATATAAACATGTCATATGTTTAACCATGTACAAGCAAACTTAATCTGAATTTATCCTTAATCCATTTGATAACTAATAACTAACAGTGACTTCGATCTTAGGGATTTTTTTTCTTTGGAAGAACGCATTATGCTGATATTACAACGCGGTGTAAATAGGATTGATATAAAGTGTCAAACTGATGTATAGTTGAACTGGAACTTCGAGACCGTGCCTTATTTTTGCCATATCTTACAAAGACTGACATTTATACGGACATCATGCATGTCAATTGACGTCTCACACGAACACATTCGTTATCGGCATTTTAACCATCGAAACGAGCAAGTCTGTAATAAGCACGTACACCCGAGCGTACGCAGTCACCTTCCTCTCTCGTGCGATGTGTGTATTACAGTCAGTTTCTCGACACCCTCAAAAGTCTAAGTTCATGGACATCTTATAAAAACGCGTGTTAATTCCATAACACACGTTTCAACAGGATATCCAAGAAGTAGTTATGACGGTTTCGAGAAACTACCCCCTGGATTTCACATAGAATGTTGGCGTGACGTTCATTGCTTAGTGGAACTGCTCGTTTCGCATAATTTGAAAAAAGCTAATATTTATATCTATATCCACCCCTGATGGTGCTCAAGGCGCCTAAAAGTGCTAGTATACCCTGGTATTAATGCTTTTTTTTCTATTGGTCACATTACCTTTAATATCGTATTAAAAAAAATAAAAGCAGGTTTTTGAATTAATACCAATCATTTGTATAAACAGAATATAAAAATATAATACTTCAAACATTATTCTAATGGAAATGTGGACAAACATGGAACAATTTGATGTAAGAATAGGACATTGTTATAGTCTAGCAAAATAAGGTAGGCCTATCGTAACGTATAGTTTAAGATTACTTTTTCCCTAAATGGTCATGATCAAATATAGTTTCCATCTAACGAGACTCGGCCTGGAGAGTTGATAAGGAATTTGGCTCGAAAAGGATTTTTGTTTGGTCTCGAAGTCTACGGTAGGCCATATGCTGTATTAATACAAATTACGGAACTCTTTACTGCATAGCATTGGCGGTACAGCTCTATATATGATGTAGCATCACACATATGTTATCTAAATCATGTCGAAATATACTTGGAATTGTTTGTCACTAATTTCAAACGTACTTATATAGATTGTAGCTATACTAGCCATAGTCTCAGTCTTGTAGTCCCTCTACCTCAAATTGCTGTACGAAACATATAGTGGACAAGAATGTAACGCTTTTGCCAACTAACACGAAAACTGCTGCGCTATATGTTTAGACGAATGAGCCTGTATAGTCACTTCTATTTCGCTTAGCTATAAGAACCGAAATTATGAGAGTAATACAAGAAACGAAAACAAAAAATCAACAAATGGCATTCATTGATCCCTTTGCAGACAATAAATATTCAAAAATAAGAAGTAAATATCTAGTAAAATATACTAAAATTGCTGCTAATCTTTCCATTCATGCCACTAGCTAATTTGTTGCACAACTTAAGGAGCTGGCCGTTTTATTTTGGGAGTCTTCAGTATTATATTAATGAACGTAATAATAATTAACAAATAATAATAATGATTATTATAATGATAATGATGAAAATAATAACAATGATAATAATAATAATGATAATAATAATACAAATAATAATAGTAATTATTACAAAAATGAAAATACGTCTTGTTTTATACCGAGGGTAATATTGTTCTACCTACCAGCCCTTCAATCATAAGGTGCTCAATCATTCAGGCAATTTCCTCCTACTGTGTACCCATTTACTACACATTTGCTAAAGGACATTAGTCTAAATGTTGATAACTACCATGTTAAGTTTTTACAGTTTGTCCTGATGATTTCATAACTGCTTTTTCACAAACGTGATTTGTGAATTGAAAATATTTACTCTTTCAAGTACAACACAATTCTTTTTACAACGGTCTTTTGTCTATGTTTTCTTCTATGTATCTGATACCTGATGTTGTATTTCAACAGTTTGTAACATTTGTATCATGGCACCCAAATAAAACCCATTGCAAATAAAAGAACGTTGTTCGTTGTTTGTCTTAGTCTTGTGAATCGCAGGATGAATAATGAGTGATATATTGAATCTAGTTGAGGATATTTCAATACAAACGGTTAGCCAGTACGTACTGGTTAAAAAAAAAAACTTTTTACACTTTTGATCGTTAAAACCTCAACAGTTAAATCTTGTAAAAACCTGAAGCTGTCATACTTTAACGAGTTTATTTCGAATAAGTTTCATAATATATTAGAATCTTAAGTGGAATTTACTTTTTGAAAAAATTAAGCCATGAAATTTGTACCAGGGTATCAAATCAGCTTTTACTACAAATCAATATTAATAGATGAATGGCATATGGTGGCAAAAGGTGAAGTGTATTGCATATTATTATTATTATTTTTTTGGCACGGACAACAAAAATATATTTATCATTACCCCTTGTCATTATACACAGACTTATAAATTATGGTCGAAAATATCACAACGAAGAGCCATTTTAGGGCTCAACACCTGTTGGTGTCTTACTTTGTTTAAATTAATATTGTATAGAATTTTTTAGACTTTGAATACACCATTCTCTTTACAAGTAGAATTCAGTGTCAAGGGTTGGTCCCAATATCAGAGATATCGTCACGAAGCATTCTGAAATAGGTCCCTCAGAGTTAATGTGGAAAAGGTAGCAAGTATTGGTGTAGCTAACCGGTTATGTTAAAGCATTCAGCACCGTTTTTTTCAGATCGGTGGCATATCCAATGCCAGTTTTTATACTTGAAGTTACCGTTACCATTGTTGTGAATGGCAGTTTACGAGACCCAATCTTCAAAATTACTATTTGAACTTTTGTTAAGCTCAGCTTTTCCGAAATGAGAAAAAGGGTGAGGACATTTTGACAGCGCTGCCAACTTGCAAAGGATATTTAGGTCTACCTGAATGGGCCATTCTGAAAAAATTTACAAGAATGATATGGAAACGGGATATTGATATTTTTTAAAGCCTTTAAAATATCATTTTCATATTTCAGTACGAAATATAATATACTAAATATCAGGGGTACGAGTCAGCTTTGACGTTATAGTTCCAAAATGGAGTTCAAAGATTGATCGCTTGAATGATGGTTTATGAATTAACCAAGTGCTCTATTGGCCAGAACATTTAAATGTATTTACAAATTAGAAATAAAATGAAAACATGGACGGACCCATTGCACTTTCTTTATTCATCTGGACGGATGCATTTATTTCAAAACTTTCAGTCCTTTTTCAGATTCACAGCAAATTGCAATGCATATATATATTCAAGGTAATAGATGGCTTAAATTAGTTATTTCGGAATGTGTTACCATATACATCGTATCTTTGTATCTACAAAATATGCAACGATATTGAAATATCAAGGTACAGAATGTCACACACTGCAAGACAAAGGAAATAATTACATATACTATAATTCAACTTTCTAAAAAATTATGCTTCTAGTATGGAATTCCTATTAGAATATATTATATAGTTTGGACGGAATGTTACGCTAGGAACACAATCAATGATTGATAACAAAATTAATATTAAGTATCATGTTCCCGGCGATCATAACAGCTTCGATCTTCAATACATTTTATCTTGTACAGTCCACATCTGTTAATGAATAGAATCTTTGAATCTGGACAAAGTAGTGAAAGGTCCTGGCATATACTCTTCAAGCAATTTATATCAGTTATTTATATTAAATAGCATTAATAATTCCAAATAAAATGTTTCATATATAATATGAAATATATTTTTGCTGTCATTTTAGCGTTTCGACTCTAATTTAACACCAACATACACTATCAAATAAAAATCTACATGCCGGTGTGGAACATGTTATACTGACTTATAACCACATCAAACGTATACTGAAGTTTAATCACATCAAAGGTTCTATATAAAAACAAATGAGAAATATGACAAGATAAACAGTAAAATGAAAGGTTTTAAAATGTATAGACAAGTATTTATAAACTAAGATATTGTGTATCGCCTTCACCATATTGAGTATTTATTTTAATATAAACAAATTGGTGTAAATTTTCAGTTAAATATAAAGATTTGGAAAAAAAACCCAAGAACTATAGAATGTGAAATGTGCATGATTGAGTTCTTCTTTACTAATGACAAAGGTGTGTAAAACTAGAAGGCACTGCAAAAAATAAATACAGAATTTCTTTTTGAAAGGACAAGGCAGTGTGGTCCTTGCAATACCGAAGAAAAAAACAATAACAAAAAAAGCACATATACATTTAATTTTCTAATAGCTAATGTTAATTTGGATAAAAGAAATATCTGTATGAGATCTAGTATGCGGTGATAAATACATGCAGGAAAGCACACACACACCCACACCCATATTTAACAAAAGCCTAGGTATAATATTGTATCACATAAACACACACACACATATAGGGGCACACACACACACCCACACTTAGGTGTACATAAGCACAGTCCTGTAGTATAGCAATGCATATTAATACACAACACAAGATTACAAAACTGCAGTGTAGTGTCATAAGGCACATAAACACACACACACACACACACACACGCATGGTTACCAAAATACAGTCCTGTAGTAGCAATGTACACTGATACACCCACACAAGGAATCCTCATTTTTAGACTGTAAGGAGGAAGACTCAATGTACGGACAATGCTCAGACCCACACTAGGTTATAAAAACTGTATTGTAGTGTAATGAGGCACATAAACACACACTCACACACCCACACATGGGGTAACAGAAGAATAGTCATGTACTATAGCAATGCACATTGATACACCCAAACAAGGTTACAAAACTGCAGCGTAGTGTAATAAGGCACATAAATACACACCCACATCCACACAATGAAGCCCAATTTCAGTATCATAATGGAGCTATGGATAAATGCACAATACTCAAACCCACACACACGTTTACAAAACTGCATTCCTTTAGTTTAATAACACACACCCACACAGGCACAAAAAACACACACACACACATGCCTCCAAATAAACACCTACATAAGTCAGAGTAAATCAAATTGCAACATGAGGGGAAAAAACAATTTCTTACATTTGGAAATATCAGAACAAAGCTTTGGAGAATATATATGGTAAAATTACAAAAAGGAATTGGCATCATCAACATTATTATTCAAAATGACAACCTCAGAAATGGCTTCAAAGTTTTTGTCCAAACTTTAAAGCAATCTAAATGAAGAATAGGTTGGATTTTACTTTCCACCAAAGTACCTTTTAAACTTTATACATGTGTATTTAGAAAAGGTTGAATAACTTATGATCTTTTCTGGTCAAACATTCAATATTATATTGAGACAGCATAATGCATTCCAGTATTCAAGCCCTTTCTCAATAGCGATATTAATCTTTTTTAAACATACACTGTTCATGTAAAGGAAAAACACCAAATATTTGCAAGAATGTTTGGAATCCCTTCAGTATTATGGACGACCAGATTAAATCCTCCATTGAGCTTGTAATTTAGTATGCATAAGCCTCAAGCCTCAAGACTTCCCCATTCTTCTCAGAGTGGCAAAATCTGGCAACATTTAATCTTATTAAGCATGTATATATGTAACATGCAATTCTGTAGTACAAAACTCATACACAAATAGCAATCATTAGCATGTTGGGAAGAATGTACGGTTAACAAATGAATTATTCATACTCCTTGTAATATAATGTTTCTTGTGCTTTTCCTAACTCAAGAATGAAAGGTGTACTGGCTGAATTAAGACGTTTGTTTAAATGTAAGCTTTACAAAGTCACATTCTCATAAAACATGATAGGTGTACTGGTTGAATTAAGACGTTTGTTTAAATGTAAGCTTTACAAAGTCACATTCTCATAAAACATGATAGGTGTACTGGTTGAATTAAGACGTTTGTTTAAATGTAAGCTTTACAAAGTCACATTCTCATAAAACATGATAGGTGTACTGGTTGAATTAAGATGTTTGTTTAAATGTAAGCTTTACAAAGTCACATTCTCATAAAACATGAATCAGGACAAATCAATTTTTCACATACCCTAAAAAACATACACAATTTGGAAAGGGTTTGAATAATTCAGCTGTTAACTTTAGGTCAACTTTGGAAAAGCCACATTCTTTTTACAAATAGGGTTCAGAAGTCTTGCAAATTTCATATTATGTCTTTGATAGAAACATATTTTCTGTTTGGAGCCAGAAAGTTATTAACTTATGCACTTCAACACAGAATTAATATTAGTCACATTTGTATAGCGCTTTAATACTACATTTATAAGCGCTTTTTATTGTAACTATTATTACCGTGGTCAATGGATTCAATCGCTATTCCGCATATGATAATGCACACACTCCACTCCATGGGGAGTCTTCCCTGGGGTTAATTAGACCCTTTGGATGATAGTTTGAGTCATTTTGTGTTAAATACACAGAGAGTGGAATTTGATACTTGCCCTAACAGAAAGGTAACAAAATTTGCCACTTTGAGATTTCCATATTTTATGAGTTTATCTGATAAAAAAAGGCATAGATTTATAATAGTTGGGCTGTCCCTGTTGGCTAATGGGAGAAATTATAAAAAAGCATCACATACATGTAAGCCATGGAACTTATGAGCTCACTGCATTACAGATACTACTCCAATTAATTGACTACATAATTTTGTCAGTCCAGTAGGTTTTATAATTGAACCATCCAATGACTATACTTCTATGGAATGGGTTAAGGAGAAAATGACGATTTCAGAGAGGTAGGATGTCATCACAACCGAACACTTTTCACACTGGTCTGGGTCGTGGTGTACTCGATCAAGCATATAGGTATCACCTGAAGGTGATCAAAGATCACATACTCGTTGCATTTGCTTGGTGTGGCCAAATCATGTGCACCATCTCCACTACTAGGGCTCATAGCTGAAAGTCTCCCTGGTGTCTGTTGAGAAATATTGATAAATGAAAGCAAAATATGAGAAAAATATGGTTAGTACAAACTTCAAATTTCAAACAGATTATATGGCAAGAGATGCAGGTTTCTGAGAAAAAAAGATTAATTCCATCTTTTCAACCTTTTAAAACAATATTTGTGCTTCATGGTTTAAGAAATACACAAAATGTTAATATATTGATGCACTTTTTATTAATCCACAGCTGGAACACTATAACTACCACTAAGGGTAAATGATATTTAAAACCTTTCAATTTCTTGGTAGTTCAAAGTAGGAGTGGGTTTTAGTCAAAGTGGACACCCCCCCCCCCCCCCCCCCACAAAAAAGGGTCTTATAATTTCTTATTACAATAAGACATTTAGCATGGCACAGAGCATAATTTAATTTTCAGGTCTACCATTTGGAACATGTATATTTTTGCCAAGCATCTATTTACATCCACCTGTTTTATTTTCTTAGCCAACTTTTCAACCTTCCATCAAGGAATTGTAAGATTGCTTGCAGTGCAACTGAATGGAGCATATACATAGTAAGTGCATGGAAAAGACTTCAAATTAAGACCACACACAGATATGGAAGGGTGCCAGAATACATAAAAGCTAAACACTAGATGGTCATGGAAAGGATAGCTCAAGTATGAAGAATCAGACAGAAGAGCCCTCCTTTCCATGACCCTCAGCCTCTGTTTTGTAACTGTTTTTAAGGGTCACACAAATTTAAGCCTTGCTTCTATGAACCTTTGGCCTTGAAAAATGACTTTCACATAGCGCAACACTTCTGATGATAATTTTGGGGAAAATCCCTTGCGCAACATTTGTCTTACGCATCATGTAAATTGCTTTGTTCCCACCTACCGTTCTCACGCAAATTAATATGGTTCGCCTGCGGAAACGCAAAATCAAATTCCAGAGGCGTGCCATCATTATAGGCATAACATTACACGGGGATTGAAGAATGATCTAAAGAGTACAGAAAATTCTCCCCAATAAGTTTGACCCCTTGAGGATACATTTTAGTTTAATGAGCTGTAACATTGTTTTAACTAAATACAAGGGATAGACTTTAAGACGACAATTTAAGACTAATGATTAAGAAAATACATTTTTTAAAGCCTTGTTTTACTAGACATTTTGGACTTACAAATGAGAAAGAATATAATGGTATAAACTATAATCTTTGATATATCTGACTCCTGGTCATGAGATGAAGCATTTGAATCTGGTTTGCTTATTTACTCTAATTTAGGCATTTTATGCAAGGTGTTTCTCTCAACACAGGTACATGTATATAGATGGGTACCTGGTGAGATATAATCCTTGTTATGCATTGCGTAGTGATAGAGAGCTTGGCCTTGTTTCATAAAACATCTTATCAATAACAAATGATAAATTTCTATGACAAATTTGTGCTCAGCCAATCAAATGGCACGAATCCAGTAGCTTATAACAGTTATAGTAACTTGTTATAGATGACAAGTTTTATGAAACATGGCCCTGGAATAAAGTCTGGATTGGTATTTTCTAAATATTCATACTGGGGCCATATATATTCACACCAATTAGAGGGATTCCAAATGTTGATATCTGAACTGCGATCATGAACCTCATATGTGTGTGTGTGTGTGTGTGTGTGTGTGTGTGGGTACGTGGGTGTGTATGTGTGTGGACATACAAATCTCACTACACATATTTTAACATTTGGATGAGGATTCAACTCTTGCGAATAGTGCATTTTGTGAATAACCCTTAGCTGGTTTCTGTGCACTCTGTGTTAAAACATAGGTGAATGAAAGTGGGACTAGAAACTTAAGCCCAAGTCCACTCCAAAATTAATTTACTTTCAATAAAAGCAGAAAAATCAGACTAACCAATCAAAAAAAATCTGAGCAAAATCGGATATCTAATAAAAAAGTTATGAATTGTTAATGACATTAAAAACTTTGAAAATCACTAGACAAATTGGCAACTCACACTCATGAATCTGTGACGTCATGTCCTCACTATCCACTAATTATTTTCTTTATATTGATGATATAAATTTCCTATTTTCTCCTTAAGAATCTTATTTCTTCACACCACCATCCAAGTCAGATTAATAGTAATATGTTTTTGTGTGGATGCACTAATATAGAGTAATTTTTTCCAGCTACATCATGAAAAATGTGAATTTTGATAAACTATTTATATAAAAATCAATAATTATGAATAAACAATATTCCGAAAATAGTATAAATTCTTCAAAGTTCATAAAAGATTTTGTGAAATGTCATGCACGCAATATGATACAAATCGTACAACCTGGGCAAAGGCATTGGGAAATCAAGTTTTGGAATAAATAGGGAAATTAATGGGATTAAACCATATATGGAGCAATTGATAAATAGTGAGGACATGACGTCACAAACTGATAACCATCTCGGCAATTTGTGTTGTGATTCTCATTGTTCCATAGTTTAACATACTTTTTCAAAAATTCATAACTTTCTTATTAGTTATCCGATTTTGCTCAAACTTTTTTGAATTGCTTTGTCTGATTTTTCGGCTTTTATTGAAAGTAAGTTATTTTTTCTATTTTCCCATGAGTGAAAGGGCATGAAAACATGAAAGTTAAATCGCGATTCACAACTCACTCATTCTGGTGTGTGTATGGACCTGTAAACAATATTATTCTTTAAAAAAATGAAACTATACTGTGCTTACCACTATGGAGTCAAATCCAACCGGAGCGGTGAGTCGGAATTTATCTTTCTTGATCACAGATTCAGTTCTGCCAAGCCCGGCTTCAACCAGAATCATTTTACCTAACTGAAAAAAGTTCAAATAAGGAAAAGAAAAAAGAAAATGAGATAATGATATTAATTGGATTTAAATAGTAGTTTTTCCAGAAACTACAAGGCATCGTCCCTTGGACTAAGGACGATTGAGGAGAAATGTAGAGGTATGCTTTCAGATATTTTTTGTTGTTGTAGAAGAAGTTAAATGAAGTTCTATTTCTTAGCAGTGCAGAAAGTAGGTTCCACAGGCACGAACGAGGCATCAGAGTAAAAGGATTTGAAGCCAGCCTGTTTACGGAATTTGGGAATGAGAAAGGCAGGAGCTGATGACATTCCCAAGTTAGAAAATTAGGTCTTAAACCATATGTAATCTTTGTTTTAACCATGCCCTCAACTGCCGGCCAAATAATGTGTCTATTTTTTCTTGATATCCTAACAGACAATAGTTTATGGTTTATATATATTGCCTTTACTTTTTTTTGCTGGGGGAATAAGTTTATATTTAGTCCTATGCTTCTACAGTAGCGCTTCTGTAATTTGTCTACATACAGGTAGTACTTTCAGTACAAATATATCTAAAATGACTGTTTCGCAAGCACTTGCATTCATGGTTGTCTAACCCCCTTACATATATACATGTTACAGACATTTTCTCAAGTTTCTTTGAAAATGAGCCTTGGTAATTTCACAAAATTAAAAAAGAAGAAGATATACTGCTTACAGTGTTTTTGAAAGGCTGGTCATATCCCATTTGTTTTTCATTATATATATCTTATCCAATAGCAATGCAAACGAGACAAGGCGAGAGAGGCCGAGAGACTGAGACAGAGACAGAGAATGGGAGAGAAAGAGAGACAAGCAAAACATTCTGCTTATTTTACAGTAACAAGGAAGACGTTTACAAACAACCAACAAACAGCCTGATTTTGATCTCATGTTTCCTCCCTCTGTTTCTCTCAAACATCATCGTTTCATTTGTATTGAATGTTCCAGGATCTGCCTGCATGCAAGTGCATAATGCGTTTCACTGGCTTCCCTGTGACCTTTGACCTGGCAAGGTAGGATTCTGATGATCATACACACCTACGCATTCCTCCCAGACAAGGTACCGACCAGAGAAAGACCCAAGGGTTCAGGGATCAACGAATAGGCACGAGACAAAAAGAAAAGGGGGAGAGGGAGAAGCTTGTACTACTTTCCTAGTAATGTCATATGTAAAATGAGTACAAAAGATGTAAATATGAACATCAGTTGAGACTTGGTCCGGGGACTGCTACTGAAAAGGCATTGGTTTGAAGAAAAGCCACAGGTCTTCAGGCACAAACTCTAATTTTACACATAAAAACAATTCCATCAAATGCTAGGTTAACCTTAAGATTTGTTGAAACCTTTAACAGCTTTCAAACTTCTCCAACAAATAAAAACTCCATGAAAATGACAGATAGGGCATGCGCTTTCACAGTGACCTTTAATTAAACTACTTTAGACGCATAAAAACCAATGATTGTCTTCTGACTCTGATGACTTGTCATGCGTGGGTATACAAGTCTCAGAGCAGATACAAAATAAAAAATGACTGTCGTTGCATGAATGTATTAAAGCAAGCCCCTCCCCTCTGTACATGATGCAGGCTCAGGTTCAGGGGAAAACAGTCTGTTCCTTGGACAAAACGTTGACCAGAGGCCCTGTTTGTAGGAGAATCACACCCTATATATGCACCTTTATATGCTACACTTCTTGCAAAGAGTAGAGTGCTTACCCGGAGTTTAGTATGTTTGCATTTACATATATACATATATATATTGTAACTGGTGATTTACAAACAGATCCCCAGGATAGGCTGCATATTATCCCTTTGAAGATTATCAGTAGAAGAAGAGGAAGAAGAAGAAGAACACCTTATTCCATTTATCTGTTGGATCTGTGGTGTGAAAAGTGCAAGTAACATGCTAATGGCAATCCAAGGGAAATTTGTTTAGACGTACAAATCATGTTTGCTTTTCCTCCGCTGGTGGTCTAAACCAATTGCCTTCGCAGATCTGTCCCACAAAATCAAAGGGTTCGAACCTGAGCTACATTTCAAATGTGTATAACAGAAATGTTAAAGGGACAGTTGAATTCTTGTTTAAGACCGCAAATGCCTTCAAAGTGCATGGTTATTGCTCTTATTCTTATTTATGACATTTCTGCATGGTGCCCTTTTAGGTCCTAAAATTGCTATTAAGGTAATTGTAGTCCCCGATCATATCAATTCAGCTCCACTTGAAGAAATATGGTGACCGTTAATTTAATGATTTGATAATAATAGCACTACACGGGCCAGCTGGTTGTGCATATTATAATAACCAACACGAAAACGCCAATGAAAAAACTAACATTGGCATTGGCTGGAATAAAAACGTATAAGGCATTATATCCCGCATACTAAGAATCTTGCAATCTGATTGGTCTAAACGAGGTCACATGATAAATTATAGATAAGTACTATCTACCGGAGATAGGTCTTTCATAAAGTAATTTTTTGCTGCTGCCCCACTTGCGCGACTTGTGCATTGAGTAAGCATAGCAAAGTAGGTTACGCGAAATGTCAATGTCAATGTCAAATGAGTGCGCATCGACTGTATTATATGTACGCATGTTGTGCTTTGTAAAATCTAGCTGAAGCTAAACTGTCTGCAAAACCAGTTGTTTTAATTATGTAAAATTCACTTTAAATAGACCTTATATTGCCGATGCGGGATATAAAGCAAATATTAACCTCCTTTACTCGCCAATGGATACAAACTATTACCCTCGTAGTCGATTAATATTTGCTTACTATCTCGTTTTTTCAACGGCTGGTTCAAAATTATCAAAAATTTGTGGGGCCCCACAAATATTAAAAATGGATATATTTATGGTTATTTCAGCCGTCTCTAAACTGATTTTGATCAAACAAATATGAATTTGTCATCTAAATTGTATGCTCCGCTTTCAAATTATCTCACAATTTTTTGTGTGAAGCGCCATTTGCAGGCCAACAAAATTAAAAGGTACTTCCAACGGCATTTTAAAGATAATACTAATTAAAACTTCCCTCAAAACAAAAGGGGCTTGAAAATATCTTTAAGTGGGAAAATAACGGCCATTGGTTGTCGATCCACTTTAGTGATTGCAATTCATTTAGTAATAGTCTGATTTTCAGACCGTTGTACCGAATGGTGGTACATTTTGTGCTGCGCAAAGATTTAATCAGTTTAATTTTGGCCATATAAGAAGTGGGTTATTGATGTACACAAATGCTCATGTATCCTTTTCAGCTCATTTTCTGTATGTTATTACCAAAGAAATAAAAGGAAGTCAGTCAGTCACTCAATAGTGTCTGACAGTGAAGTCTAGAAATTAAACGGGTTTCCTTGCATAATTTGAATATTAGGACACTGCTAACGTTTAAATTTCACAAGTAGGACATACGTGACATATTCATAATTTGGAGGCAAATCTAAAGTTATAAATATCTTTTCTCTTTCTGTTCTCTTTCTTTTCTTACAAAAATTATTTTAACTCTGATCAGTAAAATTAAAACTCCAAAGACAACTTTTTTTTAATGAAGACATGCCGTTTATATTTTCTAATTAATTTTTTTCTTCAGATGGAGAACACACGCCTCCTATTTCTGCCACTGGTGTATATTTGTTTAAGATATCTGCTGTAAATTATTCAAGACAGCGTAATAGTGACCACCCTGGTTAACTATCACACTTTCCTGTTTTTAAAATTGGCAAATGTTTACATGATTTAAAAAAAAATAAACCATTACCTTAACACGTTACATTGATTTCATCACCTCTAGCAAATATGAACAAGAATACTCCAAAGGTCTATAAAAATTGTGATTCTGCATCGAAAAAAAGTGATGTACGCATTCATACAGAGATCAAGAGAAGGAAAAGAGATTCAGAGAGAATAAAAAATAGAGAAAATAAGAGAGGGATGATTAGCAAGAAATGGGTAAAAAGAGAAGAGAGAAATGGAAAGAGAAATGAGAAAGTCAGACAGAATTGGAGAGAAGAGATAGATACATTAGAGAGAAAGAAAGCAAAAGAAGGAAGGCAGGAAGGATAGAGATAGAAATGTTTCCTTGCTATTGCATTGTCCGAAGCACCGACATAGGCGCAATCCCCAGTACATACAGAGTTACAGACATTAATCCTACTGCAGAGGGGCATATAAGCAATCATACCAAACATCGAGGTAAATCAAGGTAAAACAGAAAAAAGGGAGAGATGGAAAGAGAGAAAAAGGCAAGAGAGACATTGAAATAATGAAGAGAAAGAGGAGAGAACGTAGAAGAGGGAGAGGCAGAGAAAAGTGATGGAAAGAGAAGGAGGCAAGAAAAGAGATTGATGAAAGAAGAGTAAGAGAATGATGGAAGAGAGAAATAAAGATGGCTGAGATGGAGTGAGTCCTTGACCCCTTTGATTAACCTGCTAGCTGGCCTGTACTCTTGAACTAGGTTTAGTTTCCTCAAGGAAGGAAAAGCTCATGTACGCATACCAACATGAAATACCTGGATAAAGTGGGATTCCATTCATAGGAGAGCTATAGCTTGGGGCCGCCTTTTCATCCCGTCTCCTCTTTCACGGTGGAGGAACAATAGCTATGTTCACAGGGAACTGTCAAAGATTCAAACATCAAGTTTGCGAAACCTTGAAGATTTGCAAAACAATGATCCCATAACAACAAGGGTTCACATTGGAGCAAAAACAATGAGTATTTATTTACAGTTTTAAACTATGAGCCTGTCAAGAAATCATTTTAACTTTAAGCTGGCATAACCTTAAAGTTTATAACATCTGCATGGCACAGAACTTGTAAGATTATCTGTGGCTCGTAGTTATGAAGCTAACCATAAGATTGCTTGTGGTTTATACCTTTAACCCATTGACCCGTTGATTTAATTCTCCCCTTCCTACAGGCTTTATACAGGAACAAGGTTTATCCGATTGGTTAAGTAAATTTAACATTTTATAACTATTAGTGTGTCAACAT